GTTTATGCATCAAATAGGGTTGTGTTTTTGCCTGGGCTGTCTTTGAAGAGTGATCCTCCCACTCCCAATTCTTTCAAATGAGGCTAGGATCTCTTATTGATTTGATTTCCATTTCTCTAATTAGATAATGGTGAGCATATTTTCATGTGCTTATTTTGTAGATTTTTATAGAGAAATGTCTATTTGAGTCCACTGTTCAGTTTTGAATTTTTTCTGGTTTTTGTTGTTATATAGTCTAGATATTAATCCCTTATTAGATATATGATTTGCAAATAATTTCTTCCATTCTGTAGGCTGCTTTGTTATTCTGTTGGTGGATATATAATATATAGAAACATGATCTATATAACAAATTACAAAGGAAGTGGTAGAAGTAGAAATTATTCTAAAAGGAAATTACAAGGTAACTCAACAATCCCATGAACAAATCAACAAAATCAGAGGAGTACAGAGAAAAGTTAATATTATAAACCAGTGTTGAGAGTAGATGAGGAACTTTTCAACTCAATAATAAATATATGAATAACCCAATTTTAAAATGGTCAAAGGATTTGAATAGATGTTTTCCCCAAAAAGATATACAAATGAGCTAGGTGCTTATGTCTCATACTTGTAATCCTAGCTACTCAGGGGAGTGAGATCTGAGGATCGCAGTTTGAAGCCAGCCCAGGCAGAAAAATCCATGCAACTGTTTCAATTAATCAGCAAAAAAGCCAGTGGTAGATCACCAGCCATAAGTGAAAAACCTGAGCAAAGCTTAAGACCCAGGTACCACAGAAGACAGGGGTGACACGATAAGCACATAAAAAGATACCAAATACCATTAATCATTGAGAAATGTAAATTTAAGTCATTTGATTGACAAGTCTCAATAGGGGAGTTAGAATCACAGCCAGTTAACACTAGGCTCAACATCTGCCTCCATGTCAGTGGCTCAGTTAGGAGCTGAACATCTATCCCCCTCTTAGCATTAAGAGATCTGAGCTAGGTAATGTATACTGGGGCTAGTGAATACTCTAGTTTCCTCAAACTTCTGTCTTAGTGAGGCCCAGCAGAGGAACAAACTTCTACATCTAATTGGCAGCAAGCAACAAGACTAAAGAAATGAAGCAGGGCTAGCTGGCACTCCGGTGTCTCCCCTATATCAGTGGGAGGCTGAGTCTCCCTACCCTTGTCTGCCTCTGTTCTCAATGAGGCAGGAGACAGTGCGAAGCAGGAGGATCAACGTTCACTCTTGTTGTCAATGGGTAAATGGGGCAGCTGAGCTCCCAGCTGTGACTGGTATTTATCCACTGGGAGAAAAGAGGTGGTAGGAGATCAGACAGTGGGCACTAACACTACACTTACTCTGTGCCACAGGACACATCAGGGAACTAGGTTTCAACCATAACTTACAGCAACAAAGTAGTTATGAGTCACCTTTTACTTCCCCTCTCCCAAACAGCAGTGGGGCCTGGATCATCTGTTTGCTATCCCCCTTCCCCAGGGAGCTGATCTTACACCTCCACTCAAAGGCAATATGACATTGGAAGGCAGTGCCCCACTTTCACTATTATTCACTGTCAACAAAGCTGTTTGAGAGCTGAAATTCCACTGCACTCCTGTGCAATGAAGCAAGGTGGAGGTAAGAAGTCCTCTGTTTCTGTTGTCATAGTAAGGTTGAGTGAAAAGCTGAGAATACCTTTGGCTTGCATCCTGAACTATATTGCCTGCGAGATGAGAATAAAATGGTCTAAAATGTCCAGAATACGGCTGAAATTGTTGATTACACCAAGAACTGTGACTTAAATGAGAAGAAAAAACCCAACAGATACACAATATATTAAAATTACTCAATGACAACTTGAATTATAATGTGTTTTGGCATTTCTTTTTAAAAGAACTGGGGCCTAGTGCCAGTGGCTTACATCTGTAATCCTAGCTACTCAGAAGGCTGAGATCTCAAGATCATGGTTTGAAGCAAAAAAGTCCATGAGACTCTTAATCTCTAAATACCCCACAAAAAGCCAGAACTGGAGCTGTGGTTCAAGTGGTACTGTGCTAATCTTGAACACAAAATCTCAGGGGCAACACCCAGTTTCTGAGTTCAAGCCTGAGGTCTGTACGCGCACACACACACACACACACACAAAATAATAATAGGATCTTACAATATTCTCTGATCATTATGGAGTCAAACTAGAAATAGTTAACAGAAAGACAACAGAAAAAAATCTCCAAAGACTTAGAAATTAAGTATTAAACTTATAAATAATTCATTATTTTAAGGGGAAGCCTAAGGGAAATTATAAAACACACTGAAATTAATCAAAATGAGATTACAACACATCAAAATATATGGGAAGTTATAAAAGCAATTATGAAAAAATTTCTACCATTTGATGTTTATATTAGAGAACAGGAAATAATCTAAGTTCTAACCTAAGTTCTTAGAAAAAATAAGAGCATAATGGACACAAAGTAAGCATTGGAAGGATAAGCATAAGATCATGAATCAAGGAAATTAAAAATGGGAAAGAAATAGTGAGTGATAGCAAGCCATGCTGAATTAATTCTCCTATATTCTTAACAACTGGGGCAAAGCTGAATATAATTTTCATTAGGGAAGTATCAATTAAAACCACAAGAAAGGCTGAGGATGTCGGTCAGGATGTAGAACACTTGCACAGCATGTATGAAGCCTTGGGTTTGATCACCAGCACTCAAAAACAAAACAAAACAAACCACCACAAAGACCACCAACAAAAAAACCTACTAAGAGATGTCATTATACCCTGCTTGAATTATTAAAATAATGACACCTAATGCTGATGAGAATGCAGAGAACTTTTTCACTCATACATCACTAGTGGCAATGCACAATGGTACAGAGAATGGTGTAGTAGTTTCATGAAGATTAAAATGCAATTTGATCTAGGATGCAATATTTATTCATTTATGTATTACTATACTGGGGTTTAAACTTAGGGCTTTGTGCTTGCCAGCAGGTGTTTTTCTGCCTGTCATGCCTCCAGCTCTTTTTGGTTTCTTTCTTTTAGGTTCTTTCTTTTTCCCAGATCAGCCTGGACCACAATCTCCCTGTTTATGCTTTCTGCCATACCTGGGATTGACAGGTACACATTGTGACCTTTATTTTTTTCCTGTTGTACATAAACATTTTTGCTCAGACTAGCCTTGAGGTGATGCTCCCAATCACCACTCCTGAGTAGCTAGGATTACAAGTGTGAACTCCTTGCCGGTAAATGTTTAAAGTAATCTTTATTCATAATAACTTCAAACTAGAAACAACCCAGGAACCCTTCAATGAGTGCATGCATAAAACACATTATGATATGGCTCATCAGTAAAAAGAAATGTACTACTGATGCACACAAAAACCTGGATGTTAATCAACGGAATTATGTAAAATCCTAATAGAATATGGAAGAAGGAAAACGGTTTGACAGTTATTACACCTGTGGGAAGAAATAGTTTACAAGGGAAACAATGAGTATACAACATTGCTGCATTTGTTTTATGAGTGCTTCTTTCTAAAACTGAAGAAACTAATGGTAAATCTGACACATGGAAGTTATCCACAAATGGCAGTTACCAGTAGTATTAGTGCCTAGTGCCTCTAGATTCAGACATATCACACAGATGAAGGAGGAGCTGCAAGAATTCAGAATTTAGCCAAGATCACAAGTGGAAACACTGGCTTTCTTGGTGAAAGACAGTGCCCCCTGGTGGAATAGTCTGACTCCCAAAAGACCACAATTGTTCTCAGCAAGCATTGAACTACATTATCTTTGGTTAGATTTTTTTCCTTCTCAATTTTTCCATCATCTAATCCATATTTGTAGGAGAATTCCTGCAAAGCTTCTTCAGTAAGACTAAAGTGAACTTGTGCAAAACCCAGAATGAGAAGATAGAAATATAGCAATAAGCATTGCAATGCAAAAAAAATTACTCAGCATCTCTTCTGGCTAACATTAGTGATGACAGCATGACTAATGTTATGGTTTGGGTCTTAAATGACCCATAAGCACTTGTTGAAGGTTTGGACACCAGCTGTGGTGCTATTGGGAGGCCATGAAACCTGTAAGAGGTGAGATCTAATGGAAGGAAGTGATGACATTGGAGGTGTGCCCTAGATGGTTATAATGAGACCCTGGCTCCTTCCTTCTCATTCTTTCTCTCTCCCCTTCTCTTCTTTCTTTCCTCTTTTCTTTTCTTCCTTTTCTTTCTCCTCCCATATCCATCCTTCCACTTACCCGCCTTTGCTTCCTTGCCACCATGAAGTGAGAAGTTGACTCTCTCACATGTTCTATCTCCCCACAAGTCCAAAGCCATAGGCCTAGGTGCCCATGGACTGAAACTTCTGAAACCACTAGCTAGATAAACTTGTCTTTCTTACAAGTGATTTCTCTCAGGCATTTTGCCACAGTATAGAAAGCAGAATGACATATCCAATGTGGACAAAGAGGAATCAAGTTTTCTCCCAGCTCTGAATTTCAACAGTGAGGGGAAAAAAAAATGAAAGCAGGACTTTGCCACTTTCCTGGAGCCTGTGTATCAAAAAAAAAAAATCCACAGTGTGGGAAGGGGAAAATGGGAGAAAAGAAGCAATGAGAGAACAAGGCTTGAGTGCTTCTGAATATGTTTCATAAGTGACACTTACAAGAAACGAAAAGAGAAAGAAATGAATGGTTGATTCACAAGTAGGCGTTTGATGATAGGAGCAAATGCATAATCTGAGTCTAAAATAATAATGCAGGAGACAAACATTGTTTGCAAGACTCCTTTTTAAAAGGCCAAGATCATTATTCAGGGTTTTGAAAAGAAATTATAACCGGCCAAAATGGTAAAGAGGAAATAAACAAAAGGACTTAAATAATACCTGGATCTAGAATCATGAAATAAATAAGAGCCTTTTCTTTCTCATTCATTCACAAGGTTACTTTTATTAAATATTAGGTTGTATAAAAAGACCCCAAAAAAGTATGTTAAAGAGACAGTACCTTCCAGGTTTTCAGCATACCCACTGGGATTTACCAAAGTGGAATATGGGTGTTCATTCTGAGACAAGACTCCAGCAGCCATGGTAGTTTACTACAAAAAAAAAAGAAAGAAAGAGAGAAAGAGAGAGAGCAAGAAAGAAAGAAAGGAAGGAAGGAAGAAAGAAAAGAAGGAAGGAAGGAAGAAAAAAAGAAAAGATTATTTTCTTAAAGTTTGCCCTGGGAAATAATCATTTACTAATCATCCATAATATGCTACACAATGGCCATCCAATATGGCAGTCAGTCATTGGTTGACTGCTGATACTCTTTTTCCTCTCTTCTTTCCTCCCCTCCCTTCCCTTCCTTTCCTTTTCCCTTTCTCTTTCCCTCCCTTCCTTTTGTGTAGACACAAAAAAATGAAATGTCACAAGGTACGCTCAAGCTGTGCAATCTGGTGGTAAGTGTAAGACTTCAAGGAGGAAACCAAATTTGAACTAGGCTCAAGAAATAGTACATAATGTAGATAGGTACCCTAGAAGGAATTCCTTTTTCTAGAAGAATGATTTACCCTGTGATGATTCACCTTATCAACTTGTGGTTGGTGACCGTACCTAATTCATGATTGAACTCATGTTAAATTCATGCCTAAGGTATTGCTATAACTCACTATGAAGCCCAGGCTAACTTTGAATTTGTAGTCATCTTGCCTCACTTCCTAAGGACTGATTATAGTAGATCTTTCTGTATGCTAAAAAAAACCACAACATATTATCACCTTTCTTAAGCTCTTAGTAAGTGCCAGACACAAAAACGAACACTTTTTTTCTAACTAGAACTCTACAAAGTAGCTATTTATTCCCTGTCTCAAAGGTGTGTAAATCATTTCAAGAGGATAACATACACATGAAATTGAAGGGGTGGAAGGCAGTCCCATCCTTCAGGATTTTTTGTTTGTTTTTGGGTTTGGCTACTCTCCAATTGCAAATAAAACTGTAATATAGGTAATCTGAACATTTCTGAGCCTCCAGGAAAACCAACATGTCATGTAATGCAGTAGTCAGACTAAATGTCCTTCAATTTAAACACTGATTAAAAATCTATTACTGTTATTATTGTTATTACTGTGAATTTATTACTATTATTTAAAAATAGTGGTTTTCATTGTGACATCTTCACACACATGTATAACAGTGTCCCCAGTTACTCTCTTACCCCTCCCCTTGAAGAGCTCCTGTTTCTTCCTTAATTGGTTCCCTTCTTCTTTCACATCTTTTTTTTCAATTAATTTACTCTATTGTTATTATAGAGGTGATATACAGAGGGATTAAACTTACACTAGTTAAGTAATGAGTACATCTCTTTTCATACAGTGTCTTCTGTTCCCTTATTCTCTCCCAGTCAAGATGTGAAATTTTATAAAATATGAAATTAGTTTAATAAACTGTAATAATATAACCTAGAAAAGCTTATAGTGCTGATCATGATGCATGAGAAAGTCATATGCAATTCCAATTTTCCTAAACAAATTAAAGTAATAATTTCAATTTGATTATCTGTCAGTAAAAAAGTAACTTTTTTGTTGGTTATGGGGCTTGAACTGAGGGCCTGTCACTATCCCTGAGCTTTTTAGCTCAAGACTAGTGTTCTATCAGTTTGAAACACCATACCACTTATGGTTTTCTGATGGTTAATTGGCAATAAGAGTCTCAAGGACCTTACTGCCAGGCCTGGTTTTGAACTGTGATCCTCAGATCTCAGCATCCTGAGGAGCAAGGATTATAGGTGTGAGCCACTGGCACTTGGCAAAAAAAATTTTTTTTTAAACCAGCTGAATTATAGCTCAGTGGAAGAGCGCTTGTCTAGCATGTACAAGACCCTTGGATCAATCTCCAACACTGCCAAGAATAAATAAAATTTAGAAACTTCTTAGTAAGCCGGGAATGCAGCTCAGCAGCAGAACATGCATGAAGTCCTGGAGTTGGCCCCCAGTGCTGCAAGTGAAATAAAATTTAAATTTTGATTTAAGAAATCCAAATGCGGACATTGTCCAGAAAAAGTTTAAGTTGAACTCTTTAACCTTGTTCACAGAAACATTCTGACTTGTACTAACGCTTTGCATGTTTGCGTATGTATTAAAATTTCACATACAAACAAGAATGGAAGAACTGTTAATGCCTTATTTTTCTACTTGTATCACATATTAAGATTCTGGACAGTGGGGGGAGAGGGAGAGGTGGGAAATCTTTCTTTTTATTTATTATTATTGTTGTTGTTGTTATATCTTTAAGGATGAAGTATTTAAGCTGAAGGCTTGAAGCTTACACCTGTAATCCTAGCTACTCAGGAAGCTAAGATCTGAGGATCACAGTTCAAAGCCAGCCCAGGCAGACAAGTCTTAAGGAATCTCATCTCCAGTTAACCACCAATAGGCTGAAAGTGGAGCTGTGGCCAGCCTTGAGCAAAAATTGTCAAGGGACAGTGCCTAGGCCCCAGTACCAGCATACACACACACACACACACACACACACACACACACACATACACACACACACACACACTTGGCAAGCTAGCTATATGTCTGTGGTATAACTATGACATTGCAGAAGGGATAATACCTAGTTTGGTGTCCTCAAAAAAGTCAACCAGATAGGTCTCTCTTGCCTTCTGCAAAGCATCAATAGCTAGATCTGGAAGCACACTGCTCTTCTGAAATCCTCAGAAACTTTTTGACTAGACCCTGAGTGGGGAGTTTGTGAATTTGAAGTTCAGTGGATATCTGAGGCTGTGCAGTTTCACAAGGTGCCATAGTGCTAGGCTTGTAGCAATGATATTTCTTCATATCTCAGTGGAGATGTACTCCTGAGCATACCTTTGATATCCAGCTGTTTCCTAGGTGCTGTATGATTTTAGACAATCTTCTTTGTATAGAGACCACCTTACTTATTCAAGGATAAGAAAAAGTGGAAAAAGTATACATTTGCTGCCTGAAAACTGGGGGATGGGGCCAGAGGACTTTGCAGGTCTTGGTGAAAGTCTAGGGTCTATAGAAGGATTTATTTTGTTGTTGAAGAATCATGTTTATTGTTTGAATATCAAGGATAAAACAGCCAAATGCTATAATTAGTTTATTAAATGGTTATAAATTTTTAGAAGGTTCTAACTTCTTGCACCATAAATTAAATATGGTATAAATTATGGTGGTTAAATTCAACCTTTGTTAATGTTTTTCCTTATTGATATTTTCCTTATTAAGAGTTTTCATTTAATTCTGTGAGAAAAACATCACAAATCTCAGTGATAATTAGAAAGTTTGAAGTTTTTAAAAAATTTTATATCTAGAATCAACTTTTGAAATTTATTTCTGTACCTTTTAAAACAAAAGTACAAAATTTAAAATCTAAAGTCTATGTAATGAAATGGTATCTCTTAAAATGAAATACAGAAATTAAAGCCACAAGGGTGATCTAGAATTAGAAAAAATGTTTCTTGCAATTTTAATAATGTCATAACTTAGGTTTGATGCTGATTAAGGCAAAAATTAATTTTTTGTCCATACTGTGGTTTGAACTCCAGATCTCATACTTATTTGGCTGGCACCCTACCACTTGAGCCACATCTTCAGACCAGTTTTTGTTTATTAATTGGAAATGGTGTCTGGAGGACTTCTCTGCCCCAGCTAGCTTCAAACAAGATCCTCCCATGCCTCAGCCTCCTGAATAGCTATGATTTCAGGCCTGAGCCACTGGCACCCACTTAATGCAAAAAATTTTAACACATCTACAATTTCAAATAAATGCATAAATTATGCCAGGTACCAGTAGCTCATACCTGTAATCCTAGCTTCTTAGGAGACTGAGATCTGAGAATGATGAGTTGAAGCCAACCAGGGCAGGAAAGTCCATTAGACCCTTATCTCCAATTAAGCACCAAAAAAACTGGAAGTAAAGTTGTGGCTCAAGTGATAGAGCACTAGCCTTGAGTGAAAAAGCTAAGGAACAGCATGCAGGTCTTGAGTTCAAGCCCCAGTACCAGCACAAAAACAAAAACAAACCCAAAACAACAATAACAACAATAAAAACCCATGAAATAAAAGAACTACTGGAACAGATTTCCAGATATTGACAAAGACATAATTTAAAAGGACATCCATTTAGTGTAAATGGAGCAGTGAGTCTGGTCAAGATGTATTGCATATATAACATATATATATATATATATATATATATGGACATATTAAAATGAAACACCTTTGTACAAATAATTGATCTTAATTAAAAATAAGAATAGACTTATTGGGTTAAGGATGTAGCTCAGTGGAAGAGCACTTTCCTCATAGGAGCAAAGTCCTAGGACTGATACTGTAAAAAAAAAAATTAACTAAGGGAAACATCATTTTTCACAAACCTAGACTATTTTGATGACAAAAATAATTATAACCAGATTAGAATCATGGTATTAGGGCACAATTGAGATTCTAACTCTTGGTTGTTCTGTATGTGAGTCTTATGAACCATGTGGAAGAGAAGGTTTCTGACTCATTTGAGATATCCCAGCTTTTAAGTGAAAGCATGTTGGTCACAAGTTAGGACCAGGCAGTGCTTCCCTGGTGAGCTTTCCCTAACCCATCCTCTGCTCTTCAACTGCAATGAGTGGAATATGTCTACTTAACTGCCTCTCCTGTAGACCACAGTGTCACGAAGAGTTGCTGTGAATGATTCCCCTGAATGCCTCCAGAGAAGGGAGAGGCTTATGACACATTTTTGAACTGAAACGTACACCACTAGACTGAATTTCTTCAGTATCTTTGGACTTACCCATCTCTATATTCTGAAAACCACTGAAACCATGGCTACTTTTTTTTAAAGTGTTGAATTAGTGGTACCCTTTGACCATTAATGATTGTGGACTGACCATCTTAAAATTTTCTTTCTAGCCAGGCTCCAGTGGTTCACGTCTATAATTCTAGCTACTCAGGAGGCTAAGGATCTGGTTTAAAGCCAAACTGGGCAGGGAAGTTCATGAGACTATTATCTCCAATTAAGCATCAAAAAATCTGAAAGTGGAACTGTGACTCAAGTGGCAGAGCACTAGCCTTGAGCAAAAAAGCTCAGG